ACCCGAGGTACCACTGTACAAACATTCAGAGGTGCTTTCTGACTTGCAAAGCAGTGGAGCTGCCCGTTCTCAGTCGGATCAGAAGTTAGGATGGCAGTGATTGCCCCAGTGTCATCTCTGAGCTTTGCAGCCGAGGATTTGAACCCAGGTCTTGGTGCAAAGACAACGCTTGAAACACTGCAGGCAGGATTCACCTAACCGGCCCTATCGGCAGAAGAACTGCACAAGGACTTCTGCTTGAGCAACAGGGCTTTCTCCCTCTTCTCCTCCTGCAGCTCCAAAATTGGTTTGGCAGTGGAGGAACCCCCAGAACAGCATACGGGGGTGCAGATGGAATGATTAGAGGAACACAACGTTGAATTTTACCCTGCGTCTTTATAGAAGAAGACTAGAAACACAGAAAGCAAAAGAGCACTTTAAAACCAAATGCTATAAATAATCTATAGAAGGTTTCAAAATTTTCCAGTTTCTATACCCCACCCATGCCACCCAACTACTTTTTGAGCCCTTGTAAAGTCCCTGCATCAACCTATCTTCTCAGGTGCTCTTCTGTAAAGCTAAAATAAAAATAGATAACCAGAGCATGGGCTTCATTCTGACTTAGAATGCCTGGATGTTCCTGATACCTGTGTGGCTCCAGGTGTCAGATCCATGCTCATTTCTTTACTCTGGTAAGCATTTCAAGATTAATTTAGGGCACATCTAGATTAAACAAGAAAAGCAGGTGGGAAAACTGAAAGCTGCTTAAGTAACCTGCCCCCAGCCCAGCATCAATTTGGTGCAATTTAAACTGAATTAAGTGCGGGTAGTGCTGTGGGTTAAACCACAGAGCCTAGGGCTTGGCGATCAGAAAGTCGCCGGTTCAAATCCCCGCACTGGCGGGAAGGTAAACGGCGTTTCCGTGCGCTGCTCTGGTTCACCAGAAGCGGTTTCGTCATGCTGGCCACATGACCCGGAAGCTGTACGCCGGCTCCCTTGGCCAATAAAGAGAGATGAGCACCGCAACCCCAGAGTCGGTCACGACTGGACCTAATGGTCAGGGGTCTCTTTACCTTTACCTTTAAGCCTGGTAAGAGTGTGTGAACCATCCCGAATCTAAAAGCAGCCTACAACAACTACGGACCTAACTACCCAGAGGCATAGAAAAGCTTGCAAGTCTTCAGAAACTCAGAAAAACTTTTTTAAAAGGGGAAAAAAGGGGTGGAGGAGAGGAAACAAAGCAGATGTCCTTCATGATGAAGAACATCAGAAAGGTATTTGAAATCACCCCTTGCCCTAAGCTAACAGGGCACCTTTCCAAAGAAAGGCAGGCAAAAAGGGTACATTGACCTTCTCCATATGAAGGTAGGCATGAGTAGGACGTTACCCAGGCATGTCACCTTCCTTGCCCCAGATGACTAACCTTGCACCCAACCTGAATGCAATTAGATACCCACATACTTCTCCATGTAGATATGATGCTCAAGACTTCAGCTCACAGACAAGGTGCTCTGGGACATTTCTCTTTAACAGCGGTGGCGTCCTCTGCCATGGGCTGAGGACAGCCTCTCCAGGCCTCAGCTACAAAATCAGTCTGAAACTTCCTGCTTTGCCCCCATAGGAGGTCTATGAGGTCCTCTGGCATTGCAGAAGGGAAGGGAAGGCAGATAATGTCACCAAGAGACATTTCACTGGGGCAAATGCATGTAAATATATACAGTGGTACCTCGGATTACAGACGCTTCAGGTTACAGGCTCTGCTAACCCAGAAATAGTACCTCGGGTTAATAACGTTGCTCCAGGATGAGAACAGAAATTGTGTGGTGGTGGCAGCGGAAGGCCCCATTAACTAAAGTGGTACCTCAGGTTAAGAACGGACCTCCAGAACGAATTAAGTTCTTAACCCAAGGTACCACTGTATATATGTATATATGGGGAAAACATATTCATAGCCTCTTATTAAATCTGGACTGTATGGCTTGAGATCTTTCAAGCCAAAAACATCCTCCTGCTGTGCATTTGGGGCCTGCCGAGTGCTAGGGAGCCTACCAGTTGTGCAGGCCTGGGCAGGCAAGAATGTCTCCTCTTCCAATGTGAGTGGCTTCAGTATGGGGAGAGTTCGTGGGAAATGAGCCCCATATCACCTCTTGTTTCAGAAATCGAGCCGGCATGAATTCCCTTCTGTGCGCGAAGGTCCAAGCTGTGCAACAGGGGTGCCATGAGCTCAGAATGCCAGCTTTTAACGTTGAGAGGTGAGCAACAAAAGAAGATGATAAACGCTTGGTCCCAGTGGGACAGGAAGTGATACCGCCAGGTCTTTTTCCAGTCCCTGCGGCGCCCAAGCAACAGGTAATGAGACATCCAAATCTGTATTCTTACTCACCCTTGCAACTCTGGTAGGGAAGAGGCAAGAGAGAGGGTGGAGAGCAAGGGATCTAACTATAGGTTCTTCAAGGTAGGCATGGTGTGAAGGTAGGCAAGGGCAAAACAAGGTCAGGGAAACAAGGCACGTAGGAAGAGAGACAATGCACAACATGTCAGAACCAGACTTCAGCCTTGTCTTCCTAGACTAGAGGGTCATTTGCATAAACACTATTCCCTGGAATTATCTAGAGCAGTGGCGTCCAAACTTTTTTTCAAAGAGGGCCAGATTTGATGAAGTGAAGGGCCATGGGAATCAACCAAGGTTGTTGACCTTTTTTTAAGGATTGAAGTTGTTGAGTTTTTTTAGGGTTGGAGTTGTTGAGTGTCTTTTAGGATTGAAGGTGTTGAGGTTTTTTTTAGGATGTTACCCCAGGAAAAAACTGCCACAGGGGCTGAATTAAACCAACCAGTGGGCCGGATTAGGCCCCCGAAACAGACTTTGGACACGCCTGATCTAGAGAATGTATGGAGGACTTGTTTGGTCCACCAGACCAGATACTGTTGGACTCCAAATCCCATCAGCCCCGGCCAGCATGGCCAATGATCAGGGATGATGGGAACTGTAGTCCAACAACATCTGGAAGGCATTCATCCAATGCAGTGTCAGAAGACTAGGTTATAATATACTCTAAGAAGACTTAAGGAATGAGCATCATTGGACATGGACACAGCCACACACATAGTGACGATCCTCTAATATCATATTCCCCAGCAGCCAGCTGCCTTTGTGACTGCAGTACTGAATTTTATTTTATTTTATTTATAGCTTGCCTTTCTCCCAGCGCAGGACTCAATATGGCTCATAGCATAAATTAAAACCGATACAGCAAAAGCCACACAATTCATATAACACATTACAAAACAATTAAATAAAGTTACTGATTTAAAAACAGTGCTGAAAACATTTTAAAGCACGCACAAAATCCATTCGTTTGAGAGCAGTTTCACTGGAATGCTGCAGCACGGCTCAAAAACAAGTAGGCATGAACACTGATTGGCTTTTATGGAATTTCATATTGACCCATTGATACCCACAAGTCCAGGTACCATTTTCATTACAAAGTGGCGGATTTCAAACGAACCAGATGAAAATATTGCCCCTTATTACAGGCCTATGGTACTCCCTGCTACAAGACTGAACTCTTGCATGTGTGTGTGGAGGGAGGGGGCGCAGGGGAGGGAAAGGTGGAAAGCCGTGTCTTGAGGGAGTTTGTGGCGAGGCCGGGCTGGCTCCTGTGCTGGCAGCTTCTGCAACTCTTCTGATGTCGATGACCTTCCAGGCATGAACAGACAAACGAGGCTGAGGAAGGAGCCAGTTGGGAGCTCCCGGTGTGTCCCCCCCCCGCCTCCTTGGAAGGAAAAAAGTGCAAAATCCACTAGATTCATCCAGCTCTTCCACCGGGCCATTGTTATGTCTGTGGCGCTGGGAGCAGCCGCGGAGTTTGTAAACTCATCTCCAGACAAGGACGGTGATATGGAAGATGCCGGGGGGGGGGGAGAGAGAGGGGAGAGGAAGAAGAAGGGACGGCAGAAAAGAAACTTGAAAGTAAATGGCGAAGCTCTGGACAATATCCCTCCTCGCCTCCCTCCGGCTCTTGCAGGGTGTCTTCTGTAGCTGAAATTGCGAGTCTTGTGGGGGAGGGATTTAATTGAGAGGAGCCTGCTGCTGGGGCGGTGAATGGGAGCTTCTCTGGCTGTTGTGGAAGTACGTGTGGCAGATAGGCTGTGCAACACACGCACAGAAGGAGCCAGGGAACGCAAATCTCGGTTTCCTCTTCTGGTTTGGAACGCGGAGGTGCTGGGATTTCCTCTGCTCACTCCACCCCCCCCTGCACGCGCGCACACACACTCCCCCGCGCTGCTTTTGCAGCTGCAACAGGGACGTTACTTTTGTCTTTAGTCCAACAGATCCTGCTTGGGGTCTTTCCCCCCCCCCCGCCGCCTTCCTCGCTCCCTCCGCCTTCACTCCCCCTCTCCTATGTGTGTGTGTGTGTATGTATGCATGTGTGTTGACGAGCTAGATAGCGCCTGTCTTCTAATAGAGGCGGAATGTAGCCGGCTCCAAAAGAAAACTTCTCATTTTGCGCATGAATATTTTCTTTATTTTTTTTCTCTCTCTCTCCCCCAAAGTGTGGTACATTGAGAGAGTCCCTCCCCAACACACACACACACATATCCAAAAAAGCAGGGGTTCCCGATTGCATTTCTTGAGCCAGGGAGAAAATGCCACTTTGCACTAAAAAAAAAGTCAGGTAAATCTCCGAAGCCCAAGCCGCAGATTCAAAATAAAATACAGTGAGATAAAAAGGGGGCGGGTGAGAGGGAGTGGAGAGGATGTGCGTGAAGTAGGATTGGGGGCGATTTCGGAAACTCCGGCAAGCCCCTTGCTCTCCCTTAGCACATGCCTCAATTGTACAGGGATCGCGAGAGGGTAATGAATAAATGGTTCGGATCATATTTGCCTCCGGAGACTATAAACTGTGCTGCTCTCCTCCCCACCCCCCCACCCCGAGCGCGCTCCCTTCTCACACCCACCACCGCAACCAACAAGAAAATCCTGTCTCGCCCTCCCCGCCCCCCACTCCAAACCATGGGAAAAAAGGCCAGCGAGTAGCAGCAGCAGCAATGGCGTGGAAGAAGTGGGGGGAAAGAGATTAGATTTCGCTTCTCTCTCATCAATTTTCTGTTTAATGTCACTGGTCTCCATTGTGGGAGAGAGAGGCACGTCATCCGGCCATAAATTTGAGATTATAGAGCCTCCAGCTCCGTCTTGGTGCCCTAATTGAATGGATTTACTCCACACGGGCAAGTAGGAGGGGAGGGGGACCTCGGAGTGGGAGCAGAAGACTCGCGACTAAATGCCAAATTCGTAATAATAATAATAACAGCAGCAGCAGCAACTGCAGCAGCAGCCAGAGAGAGGACTGTGCCGTCGCCGTAAAAAGCAAATCCTCAAACGCCTCGGCGGCGGTGTGGGGAAAAAAAAAGAGATCTGTGATCTTGCGCGCACACATGCAAAAACCATCTCCAGTTTCCGCTTTCTAGAGACAGAGAAAGAAAGGAGCTCCGGGGAAAGGAGAGAGAGAGAGAAGGGGGGGGAATCACCTGTATTCTAATATTGGCGTTTTCCAGTCCACGACTTGGATATCTCCAGTGGCCCCCCCTTTTTTTTTTACAGTGAAGTGGATTTTTTTTGTTTGTTTGTTCCTGCGGTTTGTTAAACAGAACTTTGACCCAGGAAAGCAGCGATCTGTAAGTAATTGTTTTGTCTCGATTTGTTCTCATTGTTTGTATTTGTGAAGTTTCTCTCGCCCCCCCTTTTTATTATTTTTAACGCGTTCTCTTCTTCTGTTTTCCTTCTCATTAACTGCCGCATGAATGGAGATTTAATTCCAAAGCGGGAGAGGGGGGGGAGAGAGAAATGTCGCCTTCTGCCTCCCCCACCACATGGCTAAAACATTCCAACTCGCCCAGCCCCTGCCTGCCACTTTTGTACATCTCTCTTTCTCCCCCATCTTGTAACTCAAGAAGCTCCTTGCAGATTTCTCCTTCAAAACCTCCACGCGCGCATACCCAGCCGAAATCCCCCTCAAAAAGAAAACAATTCATTCATACATGAAAAAAATATATCACAATGCCCCTCCCTCCAAAATGCAATTTTGCTCTGTATTTACTTTGGCGCTGTAAAGGAACTTTATTCATTGAGGAAGAGTGTACAATTTATTGCCCCCAAGTTACGGTTTTGTGTTTAAATGTGTGTGGGGGGGGTTACACACACACACCTCCACTTAAAATGCCCGCACCCACAAAAAAGAGGTACAGGGCTTCACACATCCTTTTAGAAAACCCGAGTTGGTTCCCCGTAGCGGTATCACCTCGCTTATCTCTTAATAATTTTGAAATCGGGCTGCTAGGAGATAGCCCACACCGTTTTGCAAGGTTGCGTGGAAATGGACATTTCTTCGCCTCCTCTTTTTTGTTAACTTTGTAAACAACATCAATAAAACTAATGTGATGCCCTTGCATAGAACTGTGGTCAGTTTAGAAGGGGGCAGGAGGGCTCCCCGTTTAAAAAAGATTAATAAGGGGGACATTTTGCTTTTGAAGCGTACCAGCAGTCCGAGCTACAAAGACTTGGCTTAGAACAAAATCCGCGGCGCCTCCACGTTGTTGCAGGAAGGAAAGAAGAACCCCCTTCCAAACGTTGGCCGCGACTCGCAGGCAATGTTTTAAAGATAGCCTTTGAATCGAAACGCAAATCGCCCTTCTTCTCCCCTTTCTTTGTATAATCAAAACCCCGATTTAAAGTTGCTTGCAAAAGCATTTTTTTAAAAAATAAAAAACCCCACCTCGCTTCCCAATTGCCACACTCCCAAGTACCGGACTTTTTCTTTACGCCCGTTTTTAAGCTTGGCTCCCTGCGATCTGCTTTGTTCAGGCCTCGCTTTTGTTTCCCGCTCGAAGAGTAAGAAACTGAGCAATAATCCGATGCATGTTTATTCTCAAGTAATTTCGATAAGACTTACTCCCTCGTCCGGGTGCGGGCCTTACTCAGCACCCCCATAGGCAGCACCGGGGCGCTTACTCCCGAGTAAACATGTGCAGGGTTGCGCCGTGAGAAGAAATCTGAGAAATCTAGTGCCTCGGACAAAAAAGGCTTGCTCAGACACCCAGGAGTTTCTGTACAAAGAAAAGCATTTCTGTTTTTCTGAAGAGGCCAAAAAGCATGTAGATGTGCATCTGTTATATTTTAAAGTCCCTTGTTTCTTTTCTTTTCTCTTCCTCCTCAAATCAAATTATCTTTGGACCTCGCCGCGCGAGAACCTATCGATGTCTTTGCAAATTCGGTATAGAAAGTATATTTGTGCTAGTAAAGAGATAGATTTATTTAACGATTTTTAATTAAAGGGATTGACTTTTCTGTTAACAAAAGAGGTAGTGAAAGGACGGGTTGGCGAGGCGGCGGCAGCTGGAGGGGGCGGCGGCGGCAACTGCTTTAGGAAGGAGGCCTCGGACCCGGACAGCCTTTTTTTGCAACTCCCCGGCGTTCTCTTCTCCCCATTCCCAGGCCTCTTTTGCTAGATCCTTTTCAGATTTCCTTGCCGGTCGGAATTTTGTTGTGAAAACGTTGTTTCCTTGCCTCTTTCTGGTGCGCTCATATACTATTAATGGGTGAAACTCATCCACTGCTAGGAAAAACGGAGGGGAAACGCTGGTTGCTACTGTCTATTTTGTTCCATCGACCAGGGATCCCGTAGGCACCTTTCTCCTTAACTCTCCCATTTCTTTATTTTTTAATTAAACCGTGAAAAGGGGCTATTTGGAAGGGGGGAGAGGGAGCATTTGCCTCTGCGCACAGTTTGCTAGCAATCACCGAGTATGATCTCTTTTTGATCAAGCAGGGAGAGATCGCACACACTTAAGAGGGGCGCTTTTCAAAGGGGGGGGGGGCTGGGATCCAATCGCGAAACCGCACCGATCCTAGGGAGAGAGCGATCGGCTTTGGCGAGGGGGACGAGTTTGTAGAAACCCAGGCCTCCTGCTGTTGCTGCTCCTCCCGGCCCTCCTTCCTCCCCAACATACATACGGCTCTTTTTGTTTTGCTTTTGTTTTTGCTCCTCGGAGAAATCGGAGCCCAGGAAGGTGAGCACAAGGCGGCTTCCCCAACCAGCCAAACCCAGGGTAAAAGAGGGCGCGGGTCAGCGCGGGAAGAAAGCAAAGAGGCCGCGAAGATGGCCGGCCGGCGACTCGCTTCCGAGCCAGCCGAGCGCAGCAGCTTCGTCTCCCGCCGAGGCCGCTGCTCCCCTCCGAGCCGGAGCTTCTTCCCTCGCTGGCCAAGACGAAGGAGGCGCTGCGGCTCTTCGCTTGCCTGTTTCCGAGGGGAAAATAGTCCAGTGTAAAAATACAAAAAAATAAAATTAACTTCTGCGTTCTAGCCGACGGCCGGGCGCACAGCTCCGGCGCCTGGATCTGGAGGCCGAGGAGGCTAGGGAGGCGGAAGAGATTCCTCCGATCCTTTGTGTGGAAGCCGAAGTTGGAGAACGGAAGATCCTTTCGCCCCACGATCTCTCTCTCTCTCTCTCACCCGCCCTCGCTATGGCAGAGGCGCGGGAAAAGGGTTTGTTTAGTCTGTCGATCCCGGAGAGGCAGCACAAAGGCAGCTTGGGACGCAATGGTCTTCCCTGCCTCCTTTTTTCTCCGTTTCTAGGGTAGACGAGTGGGGGGATCTCTTTTTCTCTCTCTCTCTCTTTCTTTCCTTAACCCCTCTTGCCGCCCCTTTGCAACAGGAAACTGGAAGCTCCGTTTGGGGAGCAGGGGGAGGAGGTTTGGGGGAAATGGAGAAATTTAAAGCGGGGGGAGAACCTCCATTAAGGAGAGATCGTATTGTTCCCTCTCTGATTTCGGAAGGGAGGCAGAGAGAGAGAACAAGAGAATCTTGGAAGGACTTAAGACTTTCTCCCCACAACCACCACCTAATGTTCAGCGTAGAATGACCAGTCTCTTCCTTTGCCCCATTTTTGGACAGAAAAACAAAATAAAAAGAGGTGTATAAAACGATGGCGTCTTCTGTCCTGCATTGAGGAGGAGAATGTAAGAATTATCTGCCCCGAACACTGGACTGAATCTAGTTCCGCTGGAATATTGTACAGACGGTATTTCATTCATGGATTATCTGGGGTCTAAAGGGAGGAGGGGGGACCCCAGATTCTCGCCCGCTTGTTTTTCGGCAGGGAGAATGGATGTAGAAGCGGAGGAGCCGGCTGCAGCTACGATATGATGCCTCCCGTTTTGAAAGAGAAGAAACGCACGAACTTAAAAAAGAAAAGGTCCCCCCATGAGGTTTACGTGGTACAATTTAACAACGTGGTAACAATGGTTGTATTCATGGTGGGCGAGAGGGGGCTGCTAGTACCAAATGGGGAATGGAAGCGCGTGGAAACGGGCGATGCAATCAAAGGCAGGAAAAATGGCATGAGGGGAAAAATTAATTCCTGTAGCTTCTCTTAGAAACTATTGATCTTTAATAGGAAAAAAAATAGGACCAATGCGTGGGGCTTTGGCGAAGTTGCTGCTGTGCGGCCCCCCCCCCCCGTTTTTGTGCGTGCGCGCGCGCCTTTCTTTCGCACTCACACAAGAGAGTTTCAGTGACTTTTAGTCTTTCACCAGCAATCCGGTGCAAACCCTCGCCGCTGTTTTTTATTAGAGAGCCGTGAAGTTAAGAGTGTTAAAAGTTGCTTGGGGTGGAAAGGGGAGTGGGGACTTGAGGAGTGGGGAGTTGAGGAATAAAAACAGGGATGTGATGTCAGCCAGTCTCTTGGATGGCTTCCTTCTGCTTCTTCTGGGCATGGCGTTTCAAATGCTCCCCTTATGTGTTTTGGGTTCTAGAAGACCCTGCTGTGTGTGTGTGTGTGTGTGTGTGTGTGTGTGTGTAAAAAAAAGCCTCTGCAGCAGGAGCCCCTCCCATCCCTGGATTCCCCCCCCAACCCAGTTAGTTTGCATTGATTCTTAACGAGCCCACAGTGCAAAGAGAGAGGGAGAGGGAAGATGCGCGGCGGACACTTCTTCTCCCTCGCTCTCTCCCGCACTGGAAACCGCCTCCCGCACCTCTCCCTCCTTTCTGGGGGTGGGGAGAGCCTTGAGTTGCTCCCTTCTCCTATCGCAGAAGACCATTCCAGGAGAGGAGAGAGCTCCCCTCCTCTTTTTTAAAATGAAGAAAGACGATAAAAGGGGTCCCTTCTGAAAAGGGGTTCTTGGATGCTCTAAGGTTTGGAGACGGGGGGAGGTGACCGGGTTTTTACGTGGTCTTCGTTTCTGCCTGCCTTGGAGGTAGGAGCTCCCTGGCTGGGAAAGCTAAAGTGCCTGTCTTTCTGACACACACACACACACACAGAGAGAGAGAGAGAGAGAGAGAGAGACCAGGGCCTTCACTTTACACAACAATAAAAGTAGTTAAGCATCCAGCACCATCACGGGAACAAGGCAGAGGGAGGGAGAAATGGACAGAAAGATTGGACCCCCCCACTCCACCCCAGCAATGCATTCTGTCCAGTGGAGCCTACCTTAGGAATCACTTGCTGCTCCCCCCTTTCTTTGTGTGGATGTGGGTGGGTGTCTGCGTGGGGAGGGCGTTCCCTCCCTCCCTCCACGCTCCCATTTGCCTGACCCCCCCCATCCGGCTGGGCCCCCTTCAGCCAATGGGGGCCCTAGTGACCGCTTTAAAAGCTTTGCAAATCCGCTCCTTGGGTGTGTGCTGCTGCTGCAGCCGCTATTATCTAAGTTGCGCCTTTTTACGCAGCTGCTCATACATCCTGGCACTAATTATGTGTTTATCAAAACAGGCACCCTTATGACATGTCACAACATGTTTGCGGGGGAAACGGTCTCTCTCATCTCCCCACCCCCACCCCAAATAACTCTTCTTCCCTTGCCCAAATACTTGCTGGGATTAGGTTGCCTTGACTCTAAAGAAGGGGCAGTGGATGACATTCGAGGAACCTTTATTTCTGCATCTGCAGGTAGCTTGGGGAGGTGGGGGCCGGGTCCTCTGTGTGTGTGTTTCTGTGTCTTCGTGATCTCTCATCACCAAAGTGCCCAAACCCTCAACTTGATCCAGAAAGCATTGAGGGGAAGTTATAGATGCTCGATGGCTAGTTGGTTTAGTTCTTAAAATAACAGGCACGCACAGCCCACACCTCGCCTCTTGCCTCCGAAGGTTTGTCCCAAATCTGGACTACTTTTTCCACCCGCAGCTCAAGTTCTATACCTCCCTCTTTCTTAACCAAAAATAAAAAGGTGGGGGTGGGTAGGTGGGAATTGTATCCCACTGATCGATCGGTGCTGTATATCTGCCTATCAATCTGGCTCCAGAATGGAAAGAGAGATTTGGCTACGCCTGGGATCGTTTATTAAACTCGCTTTAATTTAACCCAGATGGGCGGGTTCCTTGATAACCTCACACAACAAACACAGTGAATTATACTTCCAGTGTGTGAACACACTAGGATATATTTAGCTACAAATTACAACTCTGCATTTAACAGGGCTTTAGCTCAAGGTTTGGGGGTCCGGAACACCGACTTACCCCCACCCTTTCCCTTTTTTAAAATCCCTTGTTTGGGGATGATCCAGCGGAGAACGTTCTTTTTTTTGGGGGGGGGGGAGTCTACGCCAGGTTGGCCTCTTCCATCACAACGTCCACAATTTCTTTTTAAAGCTAAACTATGCTTTCCCTTATGACTTGTACAGTTCATTGGGATTTGAGGAGAGGGTGCAGGGCCCAGCCGCCCTCTGTATGGACTGGATGCATGTAAATAGTGTGTGTGTAATATATGTGCACCAAGATTCTTGGTGGGTTATAAATGCTCATTAGCTCTGAGCAAAGTAGGACCCCTTATTTGTTAGAAATCACTTCTTGCTGTGTGCAAAGAGCCCTCGCTCACACGTAAGCACGCACGCGCACACACACACACACACACACACAAAACCTGCCTTTGGAAGCAGCAGAGATGTCTCTTTTGAGATTAAAAATGTGTTGTAAGCTCTGTGCAATATCGGTCTGTCTGCCACTATAAACTTTATCTATTTAGATTTATTTGATTAACAAATTTGTCAGTTTTCCTTTGTATATGCATAAAGAACCGGGGCTAGTGGGGGATCTCCCTGCCTAGTGCAGAAAACATCTTGTGTTGGCCTGGGGAAGGGTGTGTGTGTGTGTGTGTGTGTGTGTGTGTGTGTGTGTAAATAGATAGATAGATGATAGATAGATAGATAGATAGATAGATAGATAGATAGATAGTATGTTGGAGTGGGAGGGGGAGGAGAGGAATTTGACCATTTGGTATCTTGTCCAGGTTTGATCGAAAGGCGGGGGGAAAGGGAGTAGATCTATTTGGATTCCGCCTCTATCTCTTTCTCTCTCCCCCCCCCACCCCCACTTCTCCTGGCTGATTGGACTGTCCAGATCATTGATATTTCTACTCGCTCCTGCCGAATTTGCTTCAATGCACACTCCCCCCCCCAGATCTACGCCTTTTTCATTTCCCTGACTACTCTTTGTAGTCCCCATGAATAATGCAAGCTCCTAAATTCTCCCAGCTTCAACAAACATACATACAGTATTTAATAATAATAATAATAATAATAATAATAATAATAATAATAATAATAGGTCTATCTTAGCGGGGCAGGGGATAAGGATTCTCAAAGAATCTGAATTCCTTCCGAGCTCTGGATTCAGAAAACCTTGGGAGATGTGTTGTCTTGACTTTCCCGCTTTCCTGATCCTGGTCTAGCTCAGTTTGAATGGACTATTTCTGAGAGATGGAGGAAGAGGACCCAGGGCCAAAATCTCCAGCCTATGTTAGTGTCCTGTATTAAGGAAAGGGGTCAGTTTTGGAGAGGGCTGGGTGACCTTGCTGTGGATCCCTGACCACGAAACTGCAGCGCTCGTTCGCTTGCAAGTCTCTTTAAGCGACTGAGGCTTTCCGAGGCTGGTCAGCAGGCTGGTTCTCTTCGGAGGAGCTGCAGCCCGGTTCTGGAGTGGGGAGGGGGTTGCGCCCATCTTGGGTGACTTGGGAGCCCCCCCTTTCCAGACAGCGGGGAAAGCGAGGCGCGGAATGAACCAAGGCAGCAACGCACTGCGAGCGGCGCTCCTGGAAAGTCGGCATCCTCTGGTGGAAGAAACCAGAAGGAAAGCCCGGCGCAGCAACGCAGGAGTTGCTTTTGTGGGTGTCACTGGAGGTGTTTGGTTCGCTTGTTTGTTTTGGAAAGGAAGAGGGGGAAGATGCAAGATGTCTCTTCCTCTCCAACAGTCCATGGAGCAATTTTGGAATAAAGGAGCAAACATTTCAAAAAGGGGGAGCATCCTTCAGAAGGGAGAACAGGGTTCCCCTCCAATATATTTCGCAAACATAAGGGAGAGATATATATATTCATTTCTAGGGAATGAATGAATATGAATGTGTGTGTGTGTATACACACCCACACACCCTAGAAACCGTGTGTCCAGTACACAAGCCCCAGTCTGTCCTTTCCCCTCTTGAAAGGCCTAACCTTTAGCAGAGAATCCCCTGAACTGGGTCAGAGAGAGATTCGTGTACAAGCCTAAAAGGTTTGTTTATTTTTTATGCTTTTTAACTGTCCCCCATACCACCCAAAAGACTAGATCGTGTGTTTATATATTTTTTATTTTAAAACATTAATGCAGGCGCAGCGCAAACAGAGCGCCCCATCAACTGGGTTTTCCCTCCTCTCGCCTTTGTCCTTGTTAGATAAGGGGAAGAGGGCAGGTTTTCAAGAATCAGTTCAGTGGGACAAGAGATGCGGCGGAGCTGGGGGAGAAGAAAAGGGAAGCTCTGGGCATCTAAAACGATGGCCGAAGGAGCCTGACGCCCCTATCCGAGGCGGGCTCCCCTTCCTTGGAAGCACAACTGGGTTTTAACCAGGAAACCTCCGTGAACAGGCGACATAAGCCAGTTGAGCCGAAGCACTCAGACTGAGCCGAGCCAGGTTGGACGGGGGAGCTCAGAAAATAGCTGGTTTTGGAGGCAGACGCGGAGAGACGTGCACCGCGCGACCAAGGTGTCTCTTATTCTCCTTCCCCTCCCCCGGAAAGCCAACCCCCCCCCCCCGTGTCTCTGTCCCCGAAGGGTTTGGATTTGCGTGTGGTTTTCTCTCTCTTTTTAATCCTACAGTAGTCTGTTTTTTAGCATGTAAAATAAAACAGGGCATGTTCGCGCGGGGCTGTTGGCAGCCAAAACGCAGCACGTGCTCGGCCTCCCCTCCACCCGGGGACACGTGTATCTGTGGGGGGGGGGATCGCGGGCTAGCTCATTGGCTTTAAGGAGATCCGGGCTGCCCCCTCGAACAAATCGAGGTGGGCTGCCTGGGAGCCCACCGGACGGATACTTTTTTTCCAGAGGAACCCGGGAACAAGCTGCTGCAATGCTTTGCCTTCCTTTCTTTACGCAGAGATCAATTGGATGTACTCCGTGTACGTTCAGGATTGTACCGTGTCATTCATTCATTCATTTGTTCGTTTCTCCCTCCCTCCCTCCCTCCCTCTCTAATCCACCAACCTCTCCAACCCCAGAAAACTGGAGCCCGTTTTTAAAAGTTTGTTAAATGTACTGAGTGGGTAGGTTCCCCCCCCCGCACCCTCCTCCGCGCCGCTTCCTCCCGGTTTCCAATGAGCGTTTTGTGCGCGAGAAGAATTAAGAGTAATTCTTCCTAGCCAAGAAATTGTTTCTAATTTGCTCGTTGACCAAATAGCACATGGAACAATGAACCGGGCCCAAACAATTGCATTAGGCAAGGCACCCAACATACAATTACCCAAATGCAAAGATTTGCGTCTCCCAGCCCTTATTAGGCAATTATTTAGCGTGCTGAGTTAATCCATAATTTTATTTGACATACTGGGGTGGGGGTGGGGGTCCCCCTTCCTTCCTTCCTTCCTTCCTTCCTTCCTTCCTTCCTTCCTTCCTTCCTTCCTTCTCTCTCTCTTTTCCAGATGGAAAGATATTAAATTGCAATATTTTAACACATTTCCCCAGAGTGTGAAGGTTAGCTGAGGTCTGAGAATTTAAAATGATTGCATATTCATTTGGACATGAAAAGGAGATGTTTTCTTGTTGGTTACCTTGAGGAAAAAAGAAAGGTGCGGGGGCGAGGGGGGGATAAGCTGCCATTTCTTCCAATGCCAGCTTGTTTGAATACTGAACTTAATGTGAAGATTTGTCTCTCAGCGCGTTATAACAGAGGAAAAGATGCTAACGGGCTGCACAACAAACGTTTTACCTACCAAATAAAAACATAAAAAATGGGAAGGCTATTGTGAGCTTAGATCGCAAGTTAGTTATGTGGAACAGCTTAATAATTATGATAATAACAGGCCCACGGTGTTCTTTGAAGGGAGGAAGTGGGTGGCAGGTCCCTGCCCCGAGGAAATTGCATTGTGCGTTTTGACAGCGGGGAGACAATTGCGGAGGGAAGACGCAAAGGGAGAGGAGAGGAGAACAATGTCCTTTTTATTTTATTTTTATTCTGTAAGGCCACCTCTTTATTTCGCCAAAGCAAAAAGCCACGAAATTGTGAGCAAACTCCCGAGTTCTCCAGAAGTCTTCATCCGGGTGGATGGCAAACATTAAAAAAAGACAAGGGCACCACTCGCGACAAGGTGGCAGAGACCTGGGCTAACGGGGAAGGAAGCCTACTGGAGTCTTCTGCATCTGGTCGAAGTCTCCATGCAGTTCGTAGCCTGGGCTTTAGAAGTGGGAATCGGAATTCTCTCCCGAGTAGCTCGTGAAGGATCGGAGCGAGATGGCTTTAAACCGGACTGAAAAGAGAGTCGAGCTGCCTACGCAAAAGTGGCTTCTGCTAGAGCCCGATCCTAAATATGTCAGGGTGTTTTGTGTGTGTGTGTGTGTGTGTGTGTGTGTGTGTGAGAGAGAGAGAGAGAGAGAGAGAGAGAGAGAGAGAGAGAGATTTCCCTGAGGGCTGAAGAGCCGCGCTGGACACGCATCCTGCTCTGTATATGCTTGACCCCCTCCCTCAATACTTCGATTTCATTGATTCGCAGACAG